ATCTGGTTTGTCCGAGTTATCATGGTGTCACAGACAGTTCTATGTGTGATTTGCCTGAGATATAATGTTGTCATATACAATTTTTGTGTAGTTTGTCTGAGTCTACAGATATTTCTACATGTAAGTTATCTGTAGATGTAACCTAGCGCAAGTGAAGCAACCATCTTGTGGTATTGATAATTTCTGTCATGATATGTATGTATAACTTTTGATATATATTTCAATGTTTTCTAGCAATCAATGAAATCTTTCCAGATAGTTTGCCCTAACCTGCCAGGCTCATCTTCTACTGTCCCTTTCATCAGCACACTATTATGCCAAATTATGAACTCACTTGCACAGATTTGTATGTGTATTTATGCAGCAGTCAGTTATTAGCAGAATGTTTCGTTTATTACTGATAATGTCATAGTTCATTTTGCAATAATCGTGCACAATTTATAACCAGGATTTAGCAGTAGTAGGTTCTTCTTCTCCTTCTTCTCTTCTCATCTCACTGATACCAGGTTGTAGCCCAGTGTCACTGAAGAAGAAAAAAAAAGTTAATTTAGCCTCATCAGTTGTATGATTTGTCATCACTGAAATAATACCAAAGAGTTAGAAATCATATTTGACTGTCTGTGTAGTTTCTGGGGAGATAATGTTAGAGGAGAAAATAATAGACTCCACTGTCTCCTTAACACACTTGTCAAAATAGGTGTTCTTCCAGAAGGCACAGTTTCACAGCCTAGCTGTCAACCACAACACAGTGCCAAATGCCCTTGTAATGGCAAACAAAGAAGATGAAAATAAAATTGTATCAATTTGTACTCTCACAAAAGAAACTGTTTAAAATGGAAGACGGAGAAGGATGTCAGGTTCTGTGTGCTGGTGCTTTCATTGATTCACCTCCATGACCCTAATGGGTCAAGGGTTATTTTATGTTATGCAGCAATTTAGACATTCCTGACATTTTCATATTGCAGGTGTTCACAATTAGAACAGTTTCAGAGTGTAGATGTTCACAATTAGAACAGTTTCAGATTGTAGATGTTCACAATTAGAACAGTTTTAGATTGTAGGTGTTCACAATTAAAACTGTTTCAGATTGTAGATGTTCACAATTAGAACAGTTTCAGATTGTAGATGTTCACAATTAGAACAGTTTCAGATTGTAGATGTTGACAATTAAAACAGTTTAAGATTGTAGATGTTCAGAATTAGAACAGTTTCAGATTGTAGATGTTCACAATCAGAACAGTTTCAGATTGTAGATGTTCACAATTAGAACAGTTTCAGATTGTAGATATTCATAATTAGAACAGTAATTACTTTTTTTGGTAACACAAAGCTGGGACAGCTTTATAAAAACTTCCAAAGATCACACAAGGCTTATACAGTCAGTCTGAAACATAAACTTCCAAAGATCACACAAGGCCTATACAGTCAGTCTGAAACATAAGCTTCCAAAGATCACACCAAAAGCCATCAAGTAGCAAGGAAGAATATTAACCTGAGGTTAGACAAACACCAAGTGATGAAAGAAGAGCATCCCACATACCTTGGAGTCACACTTGACCGGCAGCTCAGCCTCAAGAACCATTTTGAAAACGTAAGGAATAAGGCATTGAGGCAGTTACAGTTATTAAAGAGACTTGCAGGTGCATAATGGGATCAGACAAGGAAACTGAGGGGCTTATATCTAGGATATGTTCGCTCTGTGATAGAGTACAAGAACTCACTGCTTACAACTTGCTCCAAAAACTAACCTAGAGACTCTTGACAGAGTACAAAATAATGCCCTCCTATCAATCTGTGCAGCTTCTGCAGTCTACACCAACTGCTGCATGTGAAATCCATACAAATGTGGAACCCCTTGGGTTGCGGAGAGAAAAAGCCACTTTAGAAATTTATGAAAGAAGCGTTAGAAAGAATCGTAACCATCCTAATAGACATCTTGTAGAAAACTGGGAATACAAACAAAGAATAAAGCACAAATCGGTTTTACACTGTGTTAATGAAATTCAGGACTGGTACCACCTCCCAGAAAGACGTCAAGGAATTCAGAATGTTGCAAGAAACCTACCACCACATGCTCGCTTTAAAACTCTGGAAGTCTGAATTAAATTGGTAGGCGAGGAAACCAAACAGTCCGACCCAATCGCTCTTATGAACTCAAAACTAAAGACCATTGATTCTTACCCCCAAAAATGGATACATGTTTATACTGATGGATCTGCATTTAAAGCTACCATTAAAGCAGGTTATGGAATCTACATAGGTTATCCCGATGGATCTGCTGAAGAGATTTTTGATGCATGTGGGGAATTCTGTTCAAATTATGAAGCTGAAAAAATTGCACTAGAAACAGCAGTATACCACCTAAAGACTGTAATGGATGCTTACCCTTCAAAGACCCAAAATATTGTCATCTTCGCAGATTCAATGTCTGCCCTTCAAGCTCTGGAGGGCAGTGAACGCTGCAGAACTGACATAGCCAAGATAATCCTGGATGCTGATCAGCTTATTACCTCATACAACATCAAAATAGTGATGCAGTGGATTCCAGGCCACTCCGGCACACCAGGTAATGACGAGCTGACAGATTGGCAAAGAAAGGAGCAACACAAGAACAACCGCCTACAGCGACAACCCTTCAGACAGCAAAAACACTTATAAGAGCTATAAACAAAGAGACTTGGTTGAACAGATGGGCCATGGGAGACACTGGAACAGAGGTTTATAGACAAATGGCTGGCCCTGATCCTAATGACAGCATTAACCATCTAACAAGAAGGGACCAGGCCACCATCTTCAGACTTAGAACGCAACATACTCCACTCAATGGACATCTAAACAGAATACAGCCACAACACTTCCCAGAGTGCCAGCTATGTAACTACCCCTACGAAACTGTTGAACACCATCTCTTTGAGTGCCCAAAACTCAGCGAGACTAGAAGAATGCTACTCCCTCCGAGACCAGACAAGTGGAACACCTTGTACGGAGGAAAAGAACAGCTTGTGAAAACATGCAAATTCCACTACATGGCATTGGGCCAAAGGGCGAAGCTCACGCGTCGCTGGATCGAAAACAACAACAACCAAGGATCACACAAGGCATATACAGTCAGTCTGAAACATAAACTTCCAAGGATCACACAAGGCCTATACAGCCAGTCTGAAACATAAACTTCCAAGGATCACACAAGGCCTATACAGTCAGTCTGAAACATAAACTCCCAAGGATCACACAAGGCCTATACAGTCAGTCTGAAACGTAAACTTCCAAGGATCACACAAGGCTTATACAGCCAGTCTGAAACATAAACTTCCAAGGATCACACAAGGCGTATACAGCCAGGCTGAAACATAAACTTCCAAGGATCACACAAGGCCTATACAGCCAGTCTGAAACATAAACTTCTAAGGATCACACAAGGCGTATACAGCCAGTCTGAAACATAAACTTCCAAGGATCACACAAGGCCTATACAGTCAGTCTGAAACATAAACTTCCAAGGATCACACAAGGCCCATACAGTCAGTCTGAAACATAAACTTCCAACGATCACACAAGGCCTATACAGTCAGTCTGAAACATAAACTTCCAAGGATCACACAAGGCCTATACAGTCAGTCTGAAACATAAACTTCCAAGGATCACACAAGGCCTATACAGTCAGTCTGAAACATAAACTTCCAAGGATCACACAAGGCCTATACAGTCAGTCTGAAACATAAACTTCCAACGATCACACAAGGCCTATACAGTCAGTCTGAAACATAAACTTCCAAGGATCACACAAGGCCTATACAGTCAGTCTGAAACATAAACTTCCAAGGATCACACAAGGCATATACAGCCAGTCTGAAACATAAACTTCCAAGGATCACACAAGGCCCATACAGTCAGTCTGAAACATAAATTTAGCAAGGTTTTAGGCAAGACTGTTTTTATTTCCTTCGAGGGAGAGTTATGTGGCTTCTTCTTACAGTAGACATGGATAAACATACCTGTGTAAACCAAATTATGTGTCATCTGACTCATGCTGCAATTACTCGTCTGATAATAATTCACATAAATAAATCAATGTATCTGCATCTTTCTTCTGCTTATGTAAGTGCCATTAAGTACATTACCATTTGTTGATATTTCATACTAACCTTCCTGAACTTTGCATTATTGTTCATGATAGGATTCTTTTATTTTGATTTTGTCTTTCACATTGAGTTAACTTTCATGATGACTTTGTCTTTCACATTGAATTAACTTTCATGATGACTTTGTCTTTCACATTGAGTTCACTTTCATGTTGATTTTTGTCTTTCACATTGAGTTTGTCTTCCATGTTGATTTTGTCTTTCACATTGAGTTTGTCTTACATGTTGATTTTGTCTTTCACACTGAGTTTGTCTCTCATGTTGATTTTGTCTTTCACACTGAGTTTGACTTTCATGTTGATTTTGTCTTTCACACTGAGTTTGACTTTCATGTTGATTTTGTCTTTTGCATTGGGTTTGTCTTTCACACTGAGTTTGACTTTCATGTTGATTTTGTCTTTCACACTGAGTTTGACTTTCATGTTGATTTTGTCTTTCACACTGAGTTTGTCTCTCATGTTGATTTTGTCTTTCACATTGAGTTTGTCTCTCATGTTGATTTTGTCTTTCACACTGAGTTTGTCTCTCATGTTGATTTTGTCTTTCACATTGAGTTTGTCTCTCATGTTGATTTTGTCTTTCACATTGAGTTTGTCTCTCATGTTGATTTTGTCTTTCACATTGAGTTTGTCTTTCATGTTGATTTTGTCTTTAACATTGAGTTTGACTTTCATGTTGATTTTGTCTTTCACATTGAGTTTGTCTTTCATGTTGATTTTGTCTTTAACATTGAGTTTGTCTCTCATGTTGATTTTGTCTTTCACATTGAGTTTGTCTATCACACTGAGTTTGTCTTTCATGTTGATTTTGTCTTTCACACTGAGTTTGACTTTCATGTTGATTTGGCTTTTTGTACAGGAGAAACCAGAACCTACTGATGAGGAGAATGATCAAGCTGAGGCCCTCAAAAACAGCTTCCGTCGAATTGCAGGAGAGGACATGGAGATTGATGCGTACGAGCTGCAGGAAATTCTTAATGCTGTCTTCAAGAAAGGTAGATTATGTTTGGTTAAGCTTACTGTCTTTTTGTTGTATTTCTTGTTTGCAGGCAACAAGTCTGGTCTAGCTTTCACAGCAACAATACAATATATTTTACAGAGCATAAATTGCTTCATCTGTGACTTCTGAACATTTGAAACTGGAATGTTGGAATGTTTTGTTGTCATCTCAGGCTGAGATATGATTTTAATTTTTACAAAAACACTATCCTAATACAATTTTTTTAAAACCTGACCATGAATGTTGTTTCTTCTAATTATTGTTTTTGGCATTGTTTGCTCTAATTCTTGATTTTTGACATTGTTTGTTCTAATTCTTGTTGTTGCATGTTTAGAGATGATGTTGCCACCAGGATTGTTGACTGGCAATTAAAGAAGGAAAGAATCTCACATTAGTATTGTCAGCTCTTTCCTTATTGAACCAGACAATCTAACTCCCTCTAGCAACTTTAAGCTAAAACATCAGATACTTCAACTCAAAACTGGAGACACATTAACTAACAATTGTATTTTAAATAGGCATTTTAGTGATCAAGTCCACAGCAAAGGGAGATAACCTAGCAATGCTTCGTATAGTTAGTAGCCACAATTAGTGAACCTTTCCCTTCAGCACGCAAAAGCAAAATAACAACAAGCACAGAAATGAGTCTTTAGGCTGGCTGCTTCTCTCTGTGTTTATTTCTTAGTGCTTTCTTACAGTCCAACATTTTTTTTTCCTGAAAGACCATTTACCGCAAATTCACATGGAATAGCATTTTCTAGAAAAATTACAATACCTTAGGCTAGTTGAATATCAAGAGGAACAATTGGTGGAAAGTTACTACATCATCTGCTAAAATATTTAAACAGTAATCAAGGAAGGGAGAATATGCAGTCAAAATGTTTATGTTGTTTTGTGTGGAGGGCCTTGAATTGTCAAGGTCACCCACAACTAGATGCGGAGATGTCGTATTTATGCTGAGATGGGAACAGTGAAGATCTTCATTGACCCCCAAATGACTGCACCTTAGACACCACTACTATGTCACAAATGATAAGAATTGATAGCAATACTACTGTACATAGATGCATAAAGGAAACTCAGTTTTGTTTGAGAGTGATTTCCATATGACATACAACTTCTTTGTAACTAACATAGTGTTGGCTTGAGAGTGATTTCCATATGACATACAACTTCTTTGTAACTAACATAGTGTTGGCTTGAGAGTGATTTCCATATGACATACAACTTGCGTGTAACAAACATAGTGTTAGCTTGAGAGACATTTCCATATGACATACAACTTGCGTATAACAAACATAGTGTTGGCTTGAGAGTGATTTCCATATAACATACAACTTTTGTGTAACAAACATAGTGTTGGCTTGAGAGTGATTTCCATATAACATACAACTTTTGTGTAACAAACATAGTGTTGGCTTGAGAGTGATTTCCATATAACATACAACTGGCGTGTAACAAACATAGTGTTGGCTTGAGAGTGATTTCCATATAACATACAACTTTTGTGTAACAAACACAGTGTTAGCTTGAGAGTGATTTCCATATGACATACAACTTCTGTGTAACAAACATAGTGTTGGCTTGAGAGTGATTTCCATATAACATACAACTGGCGTGTAACAGACACGGTGATCATGATAAACATGGGTGTAGCCCACATGGCTCAGTGTTAGAAACTTTTGAGATGAACTACTTTGTCGTAGCTATAGTATTTGAAATTTCAACTTTCCTGCAAATTGGTCGCCCCTGTAGTTGGTCCATTCCTGCACCAATGGAAACCACTAGTCTGTATCATCCATTAACTCGTCTGACACCAAACAACACAGAGCAAGTATTCAGTAGTCACTTCATTGTCAGACACATTTCCAAACCCACAAGGTTTCCACTTTGCAGTTACAAATGTGTGGGCCAGTAAAAGTGAAAACAACAACTGTTTGGGACTGAATGAGGTTTGCTGATTGTGTCCATACTGGAGAATAACATCATTATGTCACATCTGATAGTCACTTTGACCTGGACCGTTGTCATTCTGTCACATCTAATAGTCACTTTGATCTTGACAGTTGTCATTCTGTCACATCTGATAGTTTGACCTGGACAGTTGTCATTCTGTCACATCTGAAAGTCACTTTGACCTGGACAGTTGTCATTCTGTCACATCTGATAGTTTGACCTGGACAGTTGTCATTCTGTCACATCTGATAGTTTGACCTGGACAGTTGTCATTCTATCACATCTAACAGTCACTTTGTCCTGGACAGTTGTCATTCTGTCACATTTGATGGTCACTTTGACCTGGACAGTTGTCAGGCACAAAAGCAACCTCACCAACATTATGCCAGCTAAATGAATTCATTCATACACCAGTTTTAGCCAGATTTCAGAGCATGTAGCTTATTGAACAGTGTGAAGATTTCATTCATAGACCAACTTCAGCCAGATTTTAGGACATGTAGTTTATTGAACAGTGTGACGATTTCATTCATAGACCAACTTCAGCCAGATTTCAGGACATGTAGTTTATTGAACAGTGTGACGATTTCATTCATAGACCAACTTCAGCCAGATTTTAGGGCATGTAGTTTATTGAACAGTGTGAAGATTTCATTCATAGACCAACTTCAGCCAGATTTCAGGACATGTAGTTTATTGAACAGTGTGACGATTTCATTCATAGACCAACTTCAGCCAGATTTTAGGGCATGTAGTTTATTGAACAGTGTGAAGATTTCATTCATAGACCAACTTCAGCTAGGTTTCAGGACATGTAGTTTATTGAACAGTGTGAAGATTTCATTCATAGACCAACTTCAGCTAGGTTTCAGGACATGTAGTTTATTGAACAGTGTGACGATTTCATTCATAGACCAACTTCAGCTAGGTTTCAGGACATGTAGTTTATTGAACAGTGTGACGATTTCATTCATAGACCAACTTCAGCCAGATTTTAGGGCATGTAGTTTATTGAACAGTGTGAAGATTTCATTCATAGACCAACTTCAGCCAGATTTCAGGACATGTAGTTTATTGAACAGTGTGACGATTTCATTCATAGACCAACTTCAGCCAGATTTTAGGGCATGTAGTTTATTGAACAGTGTGAAGATTTCATTCATAGACCAACTTCAGCTAGGTTTCAGGACATGTAGTTTATTGAACAGTGTGAAGATTTCATTCATAGACCAACTTCAGCTAGGTTTCAGGACATGTTGTTATTGAACAGTGTGAAGATTTCATTAGCATAACTTTATAGAAATATTATTTTAATTATGGGCTGCATGCCTTTGAGATGATCTAACTGGCAGTCAGTTTTTCATAATTTTCTCATTTACTGAATGTTTGACGCTGTTTTCACAGAGGATACACTTGGTAAGCATTATCTCACAGAATTAACTGATCATTTGCTTGTTAAATTGTTAATTTAAAGTTGACCTCACTGGTTGCCTTCACTAATCTTTTCAAACTATCTCATTAGTTAATACTTGCAATATTTATCTCACTATTTTTATGCATGTATAAAGCTGTGTTTTAAGAAAAACAAAGCATAATTTTAAGAGTACAATTTTCCTGAAAATAAGCAATCTTTTTTTAAAGTTTCAACAGAAGGCATACTTTGTCTTGAGAAGACATTTCAAGTTAGTTTAGCAAAAATTTAGACAAAGTACATTTAAAGTTAGTTTAGCAAAACTTTAGACAAAGTACATTTAAAGTTATTTTAACAATACTTTAGACAAAATACATTAAAAGTTAGTTTAGCAAAACTAAATATTTTTAAGATAGTTTAACATAACTAAGTATTTAAACACAACTGTTAATGGTTGTTAGTAAACTAAAGTTACAAGAATAAATTTTTATCATCTTGGAACACAGTCTATATCTATTTATTGCATTTTAGACACAAGTTTCTAATTTGTAGAGAATAAACTAGACTATGTAATGTAGTTAACTTGTTATTTGCACAAGTTTTAATTTGCTTTGTCTTATCTGTACCTGATATTTGTATGTGACCATGTTTAATTTCATAGTTATGCCTTTTTTAGTAGTTGCACTAAAAATTGTTGCTTTTTTTAATGATTATAATAGGCACGTATTAAGGTAGTTTATGTTTGTTTATTGGTCAAATCTTCTATTGTTCTTCTGACATCACATTTTAATTCTTTCAGTCCCAGGCAAGTTTCATTTCGCCTTATTATAACTTCAGAAATTGTTTAATTAATTATTGTTTTGTCCTGACATCATGTGGCAGAAGGAGTTACAGTTCAGTTGTGGCAGAGTGGGTCAGTGTGGCAGAGTGGGTCAGTGTGGCAGAGTGGGTCAATGTGGCAGAGTGGGTCAGTGTGGCAGATTGGGTCAGTGTGGCAGAGTGGGTCAGTGTGGCAGATTGGGTCAGTGTAGCAGAGTGGGTCAATGTGGCAGAATGGGCCAGTGTGGCAGAGTGGGTCAGTGTGGCAGAGTGGGTCAGTGTGGCAGAGTGGGTCAATGTGGCAGAGTGGGTCAGTGTGGCAGATTGGGTCAGTGTAGCAGAGTGGGTCAATGTGGCAGAATGGGCCAGTGTGGCAGAGTGGGTCAGTGTGGCAGAGTGGGTCAATGTGGCAGTTAAATGAGGACAAGGACTTGAGCACAGTAGATTGTGTCAGTTGATACACACAAACACAGGCTGAGATGTTTACTAGTGGAAGAGTTAACAGACAAGTTTACACAGAGCCAAGGTAGTCTAGTGCTCCCAGGTGAGATGTTTACTAGTGGAAGAGTTAACAGACAAGTTTACACAGAGCCAAGGTAGTTTAGTGCTCTGTATTGCTCTTCCGGCTGAGTATCACTGAGAATTGTATTTTTGACTGCATGCCTTCAGACCAGAAGCAACCCAGCAGTCAGGCAGCATGTCCTGTACAGAACGTCTCTTTCTTCTGAAAGTCTGTCTTGCTCTAGCCAATTCTCCAGCCCTGTGTGCTTCAATAGCCAATGGATCTTCAATGTCCTGTGTCCATCTTC